TGTTACTTTCACTTGATTTCCCGGAGGATCGCCGCAAGCCACCCGAAAAACGCCTGTATGCCGTTCCGTCTATTTCTATCGTCCTGAAGGTCCAAAATTTCTTATTTTGTTTTATTCTTCGATTCGTTTTACCGTCAACTGTTGAAGAAAAGTTTCTGTAGTAATAGTAGTCAAGGGTTTAGACTACACTGTGTAAGTCTTTGCGCTGTCGAAGTGTTTTATTATGAAAATTCAGATGTATTTCGACATTTCTTCGCACCGTTACCCTTTTCGGCACAGTAAATTTTTATTTTTTGAGAACAGAAATGATGGCCATTAAGCCAGGCAGATTGCTGGTCATCACCTCTGAATTTCCTGGAAACAGAAGCCGGAAGTTGCACTTCACAGAGTGGTCCTTGCGAAGAAGAAAGAAACCATTCGAATGGTCTCCTAGTGGCTCACATGTAATATACATATATACACGTTCACTATTAGATCATTAAATTGGCTTCTTTCTTTGTATATATTTATTTATTTATATTTATTTATTTACTTATTTGTATATATCGGCAATCGAAAGGGAAACGGGTTAATATCCCTGTACCTGGACACGGCGATAAATGGTCATTACGAGTGTTTAGCGCGATAAGAAAGAAACCAATTTCAAATATATATGTATATACAGGGAAGACAAACAGCTTAGGAAAGAACGATTTACTTTAGCCGACTGGGCATGTGACTGCAGTTTTTTTTTAATATCAGAGTCCCATCCCCAGCCTGATCTTATTGCTCATTTTTTTTTCGCATAATTTCAGCGTTTATTTTATTTATAATTTTTCAACGGTTCAGAGATTTATTTTATGATATTTCAGTGGTGTCCCGAGAATTCTGTAAAATGGTTATCATTTCGAACTGCTCTGCTGTCTCTCTTCGAGCAGCGTTCACGACCTGGCAGTCTCAATCGGTGATCTTTTTTTTTCTCCTTTATTGAGCATCTCGAAAGATTTAAGTTTAAATTTTGTCAAAATGCAGTCAGATGAACAGAGCTGAAATCCGAGCGCTTCGATTGCTGGTACAGATAATTGATGTATAAAATGCCATCATAATCACGACAGGCAGTAAATCGTTGGGCAGGCGGGTTTCGTGACAGTCGGCGAAAATCATGTATCTGCAGCTGATGCATGCGGGGAAGGAGGTACGTGGCCCGGGATGAGTTACCTTTGAGGGAGAGTAGTTTAGGGTCTAAGGTGCATCTCAGTATTTATCGGCATCCCATGTCTATGGTTACAGCGACGGTTTTTGTAAGATGTGCCAGTGCCATGTGCCACTTTATTTCTTTTTCGACGTATTGATTTTCAAAAATTTTTTGTTACTAGGTTTGTTGAACGTTCCAAACATTTCTTCTTTTTCGAACGTGCTAACCGCAAAAAGGCCTGCATTGCCCGCACCCCTTTGTTGTCTAGTCTTTTTTCTTTTTTTTTTTTTTTTTGTTTTTCGTTAGAGTTTACGGAAAATTGTCTTCACGAAACAGGCCATGAAAAGCTTGAGCATAGAAATGTTGGGAGCTACGCAAGGGCACTCCCCACAATCAGTATAGTTTTTTTTTTAACAACCACTCACCACGCATCTCTTGACTGAATGCTACTGATGAGCGGAAGAGTGCATAGGATATTTTCCTGTTTTTTTTTTCTTTTTTGGATTGACAGTGCGTTGCAGTGTACATTTTTGGTGCTTTTTCATGCCCAGTGCATAGCAGCATGACCTTTTGGGCATTTACAAGCCACTGATCAGGCCTGGCAGCGAAAAAAAAATATCACACTGGCTATGCCGGACAATATGCGGTAGACTGCTCCACATTACTGAAATAGCCCGAGTTTGTACTTAGCCATATCTGAACACTGCTTGGTCAGCGTTCACTTCCACCTCGATACGATTTATAATGGGCCGAGATTTGTGAAAGCCAGTTAATTTGAATATGCCAAAGTCTCGAATTTTGATTAATCAGCGTTTTGCGTGCATTTTCAGATCGGTCTCTTCGTCGAGTATTGCGAGCTCTCGTGATGGGACAGACACATCGCGTCTCCTGATGATTTGGCAAACGAAGGACAACGCCACTGAGGTTTGCAGTTAAAAAAAAAAGAAAACTTTATGCTGCTGTTCTGCTAAATTATGGTGCAAAAAAGTAATTATTATTATTATTGTCATTGTTATTATTATTGTTATTGCTATTATTGTTGTTATTATTATTATTGTTGCTATTATTGTTGTTATTATTATTATTGTTATTATTATTGTCATTACCATTATTATTAATCTGTTCAGGGAGGACTCTTCGATCTGAATGCATTCTATCACAAGCGAATGCCCAGACAAATCGTTTTCGATGGTCCGCATTTGAAGTTAAATGCATTTCTTGCACTCTTCACACTACCAGCCACCAATGCTCAACGCGTCTTCCTCGTAAGTTCTACCACTCGTCAACTACAGTTTTTAAGATGCTTCTAGTTTAGATCATCACTGATTGATTAACTAAAGAATTCAACTATAAATTATTGGGGAAGGGGGAGAGGCGTTTTGTCGTGACCTTAAAAGTTTGTGGATTGGACTAGTGTGCGTGCCCTGTGCGTGTATGTTAGCCATCTACAGAGATAGCTATATATTTATAATTACATGCAAGAGACTATAGTTATACAAAGTACTTGAAATGCGAGGGAAAAATAAGAAAAGGCGGTAAGGCTCTTGAGAGCCGAGACTTCCCTGAACAGGGTGATGTGAAGCAACTGCAACTCTGGATGCCGGAGATGGGTAGGAATGCTTTCATCCGGTGGCTATAGATCACATAGCCTGCTTAACTGTAAGGGGTGAGGGAGGGGGGAGAGAGTGTAGGGTGCCCAAAAATTGAACTGGGGACCAGGAGTGTTGCACCATAATGATACCATGGCTTTTTATGTAATTTTTAACAAAAAGCAATAAACCATTAGGTGACTGATTTATCGGCGAGGTTGGCCAGAAACACAGCCACGCGTGGTGATCCAGTTCGTTCTGTCGTTACCACCATTTTTTACCTCTCCTCCTCACTCCGTACACACATCTGTTCAAGGAATAAGTGTGTTCGTGGCCAGCGCAGAAGTCATAAAAAATTTGTTACAGAAACTCGTAATCGCATTTTTGGGTAAAGAAGGCCAGAGACTTGCGGTACCGTCGTTGATGTCCTGCTGCTGCTTTCTTGAATTGTATGCTTTTATAGGACTTGCTGAATGACGGCATTGTGCAGTACCAGAGCCCATGCAGCGAAACGAATGAGGTGTTCTTTTTCGCCTCATCCTACTCAGTCAAATTACGCGCATATGATGGAGTGCAAAAATACGTGATTCTTGTGCCATCGATGCAGAAAACGGTCTGCTTTCTATTACTGATCCCAGCAAAAACACTCTCTGTTTCTTATGTTCTTCTGTTTAAATTTCAACTTTTTAGGAAGTATTTTTTTTTTTCGCTGATACAGCCTAATTTGCATATTTCTCATATGCCATATCAGAGCTTCCTCACCCAACTTTCAGTGAATGTAGAAAACATTATTATTATCTAAAATCAAAAAATTTCGCTATTCCTCTCGATCTGTTGAAGAAGCGGCATTTTTTCTTTTTTTTTAGAATTCCGTCTTTTTACCTTTTTTTATTTAAACTCTTAGCA